CCCAGGAGTTTGAAGTTGCTGTGAGCAAGGCTGACGCCAGGGCCCTCTAGCCCAGGTGACAGAGCGAGACTTCGTCTCAAAAAAAAAAAGAATTCTTTAAAATAACTTCTCTTACATCAATTATATTTTTAGAAGTATATTTCAGTATGACACAAAAAAATCCAGTAGTTGTTGTCCTCTACTTTTTTTGTATAGCTCTATGAATATTAAACTTAGATTGTGATAAAACCTTTTCTGTTTGAGTTATTTATTAATTATATTTATTGCTCCAGATAGTAAGGGCATATTGAACTTCCATCCAGTAGGACCACAGGACCAGAAGGAAGGAACAATCAAATTTAGGACACTGGGAGCTCTCTGAACCTTTAGTGATTCAGGGTGCTTCCCGAGGCAGAGAGAAAAGACAAAAAACAAATTTAGGACATAAACATGATGGGTACCATTGTGATATCAATAAAATGAATAACATTAAAATGTATAACAAAATGGTTTTAAGCATTAGAGCACAAAGTTTTCAATAAAGAATAATTAATGCTAAAGGTAACATAAAAGCTCAAAATAGCACATTTCTAAAAGGAAACAGCAAATAATCTTAGATGTTTCTGATTATAAATAATTTTATGCCCTAAAAGTTAATAATTACACATTTGAATGGAATATTCAGGGTTATCAAATTTATGGTAGAAGATACCAAATCCCATAAATTTAATGAAGATTATTTATATTACATCTGGCATTTTCTCCTTTTCATTTATCCTGATCAGAAAACAGACCTAAAGAGGCTACTGATTTGCTTAGACTGGAATTCAGGTCTCCTGTCTCCTAGTGGGTTTTCAGTTGTCCTAGTTTAAATTTCAATATGCCACTGATGCCAATAGGGTTTCTAACAACAAAATGTATTGTTGTAATGCATCGTCTTTAATTATAAAAGCATTATTAAGGATGGTTTTTGAACTTTCTATTATCTTTAATTAAAAAACAAATTTAACACATGCTTACTATAGTAAAACTAAAAAATACAGATAAACAATAACAAGCAATTTTACTCAGCAATGACCACTGTTAAAATTCTTAGTGTTCACTGTTACAGATTGTTCTCTATAACATGTTTGTTAGTTTGGTTGGTTTGATTTTTATTTCTTGGTATAAAAATGGGCTTGA